GTTTTGCTTTCGAACAGTTACTGCTGCAGACGCCTTTGCGTGCGGCGCGTGTACATACGTTCCCGGCATTCTTTCTCTCTAATGCTTTGGTAGTTCCACACACCCAAAAAAAGTATATTATAAGAACGTCCGCTGCAACAGATGTTCATAACCGATATCGAAATCACCGGAAATAAACAACTTTTTTTCAAAAGTGTGCGCCTATACAGTACCTGTTACGCCAATTATCCGGGTCCGCCAATGTTTGTGCATGTGCTTTAACAATGCATTGGAAAGGAGGGTAGCGTCACCGTTCGGCCTGAACTTGGTACGGCTCACGAGTACTAAAAACGAGCGATGTATTTATAGTGTATACGTCAGTGATCGGCAAGGACACAGATCCAAGGACACCAGAGCGTTATTATAATTCGCGCTAGAGGTTCAACTGGCTGTCAAAAATTAAAGCAGACAGCAACCAGCCGAAAAATGACTTCCAGTAATGCATTTTTATGGAAAAAAGTGACGGCACTTTCTCCCTGCTCTCGATTAAAGAAACAAATATCTCGAGTAATTCGTACGCACAAGACACATTGGAACATTTCTCAAACAGGTAAACAAAATGAGTAGTCAGTTACGGCGGTCTTGTTTTGTTTAAATTCAATACATTAAAAATTGTGCTAAAACGGCTTCGTACATGTATTTATGTGCATTGTCGGACACTGTAAGCGCGAACACGACGTCGGCGCTTTTCAGCATGGGGAATATACGTGCCAAACGAACGGAGGACATCTGGAAAACCAAGAGAGACGGCAAACTACGCAGTAACACTGGATCAGTAACTCCCTGTGCATGTACGATCAAAATAAATTGAAGGCCATGTCATATAGTCCGATATTCAATAAGTAAATATGAATTTATTCTTCCTGCTCTGTGCGAAGATGCTCGTTCTACGTTCAAAACATCACCCGCGCGCTCGAAATCTTTTAGAACAAGCGCTTGATAAAAGCTGCCGGCCATAAAAAAAAAACAAAAAAACATAAAAATACATCCTTCATAGCCCACGTACTTTATTGGTTACGTTTTGAAGGTTTTTAACCTCTCGTGAAAGCAATGCAAGGTGGGGTCATTTGCACATAATGTCAGTCAGGACTGGCATGTTAGCAATATATAAGCGTCACCGGAATGCTGGCGAACCTTGAACACACTCTATATTCCTTTCGGTTGTTATTTTGCTTAGTATCGTCGCTTGTTTTTACACACCTACTGTGAAACACAGATTTCTGCCTAAAATATAGCGAAGTGAAACATCGTTCACCAATGAAGTAAAATGTGCTAACTAAAGCAATTACACTTTTACAATGTTAATAAAGGTACATACTATCTGGTACGACCCAAGTAACAAAAGTGTTCGATGCTATTTTCCTGCTAAGAGACAAAATGCTTACGCGTTTTCCCACAGGAATGAACAGGAACACCGCAAAAGTAGACTGGTTCCTGTCTGCTTCAATTTTCCTCCCGGAAGTCGATCGCGAACCGCGGCCTCGGCAGCGGGGCCGAGTGTCGCCACAGGCGGCCATTGGTTGACACCAATGGCCGCCGGTGGCGGGGTCTTTAACGTGCGTGGTGCACGATAAAGACCCCAGGCTAGCAGTCGTACTGCACTGGCTAAATTGCTCATCTACAGTGGGTAAGAATGTCGCAATATCCTGACAGACTAAACTCGTGCTGTATTAACAACTATCGATTAATTTCTTGATTTTTTTGCGAAAACGGGAACAGCGAATAAAAAGTACGAGTCAACAAAGATCGACTTACCTTTCTCTATTCTGAAGATGAGTAGAATGAAGATGCAAGTTACATGCCGCGGCCTCGCACTAACGTGGGCTCACACTTGACAGCGCGCTGTGAGGCGATTCTGTTTCCGTTTCTGGTTTGGTTCTAAGCGCCGCGGGCAGAGAACTGACTCAGCTCGTTTTTTTCTGCTGGGCAGCCGAGCGTTTGGACAGGTCTGAGTAGAGCGCGCGTAAACTCTCGGAGGCCGTGATGATTTCTTTCCTTCGCCCATTTGCTCACCCTTTTGCCATTTCGTAACTATCACCAGGCGGTGCGGCATACCACCAGGGTGACCTTTGGGGGATCGTACAAACAAGCTCGCGCACCAAGCTCGTTCTAGCCATCCGGTGTGGCCAGCCGACACTACACATCGGCGAGCGTGAAATGCTGGGAAGCAACAGCTTTGTAGCGCGTGCCGTTTGCTGTAGTGACGTAAGCACGGCGGCCTGTCCTAGTTCCTCTGTGCGGCACTAGGGGCGTCTTTTTAGGCATGGGGTCTATTCACCTTTTCCACAAGGGCGCAGCCACCTTGAATTTCGTCACTTCTGGTATGTGGTAAAACATCGTTTTGATCTCTCCACGCCGCTGGAAGGTGTTTACGAATAATGCGTGACTGTCACACATCCTTGTTTTGCCTCACCTGTATTTTCTCGCATATTCCAGGCTGAAATGTTTTATTATTTTTTCGTCCCGCATGCCAGATACGGAACCCACGCCACTTAAAACGACAGGAAACAGAAAACGTCTATTATCCAAGAGATCGCCATGACATCGTTAGTAGTATTGGTTCGATTTTCATCGACGCGAATAAGAGTAGTGCCAGAACGTCATCTCCACAATGGTGTTACTTTGGAGGCGTAATCACTGCAAGATTTCACAGTGCTGTTTCCATACACAATCGAACTGCGACTTTATCCACACAGGATACATAGCCAGGGACACATTGGAATATAAGCAGCCACGAACACATTGAATGACTGTTATCCCCCCCCCCCCCCCCCCTCCGGCCCTTTTCTCCCACACCCCGTCGCAATTAGATGCTGTTAAACGAGAGATTCCGATATAACCCTTCAAGTCAGTTTAAAAGAATTTTTATCAATCCATTCCGGCAATACGTACGTCTGCTTACTCACTGTCACATTGAGGCAAATGTTTTGCGTAACATCAAAGAGAGGAACTATCAGAGGGCCCTACAGCTGCGATGTGGCTAGGGCCGTGCACGTGGTCCCAGTCGTTATGACTTAACTCGTGAGCTACACGGTGGACATGAGCGTGAATATGTGCTCCTTTAATATTTGGAGTACCGACTGTAATGATAAGGGAAAATACTCGACCAATGGATCGTTTTGTGATTCGCCGTGTCTCTGCTCGATTAAGCAAGCAAGTAGGTCGTGGAGCAAGCACACGCAATTCCCAGCCTGTCAAAGCTGCCTTCCCACGCCTGATGCACGATCTTCTACATGCCGGCGGCGTCGCCTCTGTTTGTTCGTAGAGAGCCTAGATTGTTGATAGGGTATGACTCAAACCATGGGGAGCGTTTTCAATTAAATGACGGGCGCCTCCATCGGGAGATTGGTCGCAAGTGCTCATGCGCTACGTTATTGCGAGGCTAGGAGGAAAGCCGGCGAAAGGTGGAGACATTCGCGGACGGCCAACGCGTTCGGCACCTGTAGCTCGTATTGCAAATGCAGCCGATAAACCACGTGACCCCCATCGCGCTGTTGCAAACTCTCTTTAATACAGATTCTCTAATTGTTCGCTGCCACCTAGCGGGAAGAAATTGTGACGAATGACGCGGGACGGGTGTAACCGTCATTATTACGACTGGATTTAATAAGGTGCTTACGAATTCCACAAGTTTTTTCTGTGGCGCAAAACTTGAGCGAACGTAATCTAAGTGGAGCAGCCAAAAAGAATCAACCGATGAAAATTATCTGTGTGCCGCTAGGTGCGCCCTGGTCGGGACTTGAGTTACGTCCGCTCCTTTCCTATACCTCTTGTAGCTGTTCCCCGTAAAGAAGCTTCATGCAGCAGTGGCATGTGAATAATTAGATAACTTTACTGTCTATCATTGACTACAACTTCGATGATAAGTTTTGTAAAGAAAGTAGACTGTGAAGTCAACACGTGCTCAACGTTAACACGTGAGCAATCAAAGGCGCCTCATTAAAATGAAAACCTTCGTCAAACAAACGCTCGTGCAATGAAAGCACCTGCTCCTTCTAAACACACATGAGATGGAGAATAGCACCGATCTCACCAAGCGTTCCACGCATGCGTGACGCCGCCATAACTGTAGTTCGTAGGACTACAGTAGGAGGCAGACGCCAGCTCACGAGAGAGCTCATGCCGCCTAGTGCTCTGCTCGCGCAGACCTCCAGCAGGGTTGTCGCGCGTGCAGAAAGACTACAGCTCCCACGATGCATGTCGGCAGCGGTGGCGTACTCAAACTAGCTGGTGAGATCGGTCTATTAAGAGTGCCAAAAGACAAAATGTGCATTCCTAGAGTTCATCGATGTCATAATTACGATATTTTACTACTGTTCCTTAGAATGCAATATGCGCTAGAGCACATTGCGTTTTCTTTATGAGGATCGTTCCTCCGCACATTTGGGTTTTGGGAAGATAATCAACGTTGCCTTGCTATCGTTCGAGCTATCAACTCGAGAGCTTTCATTATCCACGTGCCTAAACCTCGAACCTCATTCTAGTCAGAAGCGAAATGCTGGAAAAAAAAAAAAAAAAAAGTCGTAGCTTGCTGAGGTACAAACTCGTTCACCAAACTGCGGAAGCCAGCGAGCTCGCACTGAAGGCCGAGCTTCTAGTCTGAGCTTAAAGGCCGGCTCTCACACGCAGCGAAGTGCTGATATAACGCTGCTCACGTGTCGTCAGCTACTTATCGTCTGCCATGAGCAACAGTTTTGACGGTGCGATACAAAGCTGGTGAACGCTCCCGTCAGTACGCGCTTAGCGCGAGGTCAGAGCTGTACTTGTTGCTGAGACTGGATGAAAAAAGCACTGCAAAGGCTGGGGTGCGCGAGCGTCTTGAGACGCGGTCTGAGTCCCGCTCAGCTCGTGCGGTGGCTTTGGCAGTGCTTTCTCTCATCCAGTCTCAACTGAGACGCAATCTCTAGCAAACCGGCCCAAAGTGCACGCGTCCACGGGCTGCACGGCCCGGCACAACTCACCGATGGTGGTGATGACAATGATGGAGTAGAGCAGGGCCCCCGTGAAGGACCATTGAAGCTGCGCGTCTTCTTTGCCGTCGTAACCTTCTTTTCTCACGGCCTGCACGAGGGTGACCTCAAAGCGCCGTAGCCTCGCCACGGCTTCCCTCGTCCAGTTGGCCTCGTCGAGCAGCGGCGAAGCAGCGGTCAGTTCCCAGAGCGTCTCGGCCAGGCCGGACCTCCACTGCATCATCTCCTGCCGCTTGTTGCTCTCGTTTCCGGCCTCCAGGAACTCGAAGAGGAAGGCGCCCATGATGCAGTAGCCCACCACGAGGCTGCACAGCCCAAAGTGTGACACCAACGACGTGGTGCCTGCGCGGCAGTAGTGGCGGCACTTGGAGCACCGGGATCGTGGTTCTCCGCCGCCGCCGCCGCCGCGCATGGCTCGTCGCCGGTCCCCCGTGGTGATCGACGGCGACGCCGACCCCTTCGGAGGAGATCGCTCCGGGCCCGACTACTCAGGGACCGCTGACGGCCACTGCTAGTCTGGTCGGACCGCTCATCGTGCACTGGTCGGTCGCCGCTGCCGCGTCAGGTGTCGGGTGCGGGACGGCGCCTCGCGGAGCACGCCGTCGGGCGACGAACACCGGTGTCGGCAGCGTGGCATGTCTCGTGGTTCCGGAGGCCGGGACGCGGACTCGGGAGGTTTCTTCTTTCGTTCCGTTGACTCGCGCCCTCGTCTCAAACGTCAGAGAGCGGAAGCCCCGAGGGCGAACAGAACACGTTGCCCCGCCGCGAGTCACGCCAGGAGAGAGCCGTTTTTCAACAGACGCCCACGGAGTAGCGCGCACGCACCCACCGCGCCACTTGGGCAAGACCCCTGGTCGTCTGCGCGCCGGTGTTCGTCTGCACCGCTGCCGACGTTGTGCGCGACTCGGGGTTTCCTGGCCGCCGTCTCTTCCCCCTCCCCCACTGGCCTTTCTTCTTGCCCCGTCCTTTCTTTTTGAGTGTTGTTATTGTTGTTGGGCCACCCGCTCGGCAGGAGAAGAGATCAGCCAAAAATAAGGCGGCTCGGGGTTCGTCGTCTCCGTGATGTCACGGGAAGCAGCGGCGAGCAGGACGGCGCTCGACGGCCGCCGAAGGCTCATCGAAGGCTTCCAGAGACCGCTGTTCGAGCGCCCACAACCAAGTGCCACTTACGTCACGCGTCAGAGCCGACGCCCGTTCACCGTCTCGCCGCCTTCGCTCTCCCACTTTCTTTTCTTTTTCCTATTTTTTAGCGAACGGAGCCGTGCGAACTTGCTTTGTGGCTTCGTTTTCTCGTCCTCCCGAAGGATCGTTGGTCTCCTTGGCTCGTATGAGTGTGCTGCGCTCCAGAAGAGAAAGGGTGTGGGAATTGTCACTCCGGGGTAAGTAACCTCTGTGCCACGTATGCTACTCCCAGGGAAGAGCAGCGCGTGAATGAAGCATCTATACCATATATTCTAACAGAAACGTGAACAGTCTTGCCCTTGCAGAAGGGGGCAACCCACTTTTTCCCCGGAGCAACGGTGAAATTGAACGAGAAGAACACCATGAAACGCGGATTCATGGCATTCAACTTTTCAAAGTCGTTTGAATTCCTTTGCGATCGCATGTAATAGTTGGCTGAGGATTGAGGAACTTTAGGCTTTCTTGTTGCCCGACAGTAGTTAACTTTGCTTTACAACAGAGCATTCATCTTTTCGAAGAAGTTCGAAACATAAGCCATAAATTTGAGGAATTCTGTCCTGTTCGGAGACTTGCAGAAAATCAACTTCGGTGTGTTTCATTCTTGGAGAACGCATTCAACGCAGTGTCTTCTTCACGGGTCGCCGGTAAGTGGGTGCAGTCAGCCCTTCCTATTGGCGGTTTGAAGATACTCTTGCAACTCGGGTGGCTCGCGACATTCTCCACAATACAGTGAAGATACCGCGGTAGGCTTAGGCGGTTTTGCTGGCGATTTGTGCAACTAGTGATAAATGCACCTTATGGTCTCCAAGCTCCTGTCCACGCATGTGTACAGTCTGATCCTCAAAGAGTTGCGTTCGCCAACTATCACACTTGCGTTATCGCAAACCACTGCGATTACGTTTTTTTAATTTTTCTTAACCTTTTTGTTACGTGGACATTGTTCAACAGCAACTGTGGGTGACCACGCGGAGCACGTCACGGTGTCGAGAATAACTTCTTAAACTAGCTATGTGATCACATCCTCTAGCTGTACAGAATCCTAATAATAACGTACGACGCACCCAGCCTAGAGGTATTGTGCTTGAGAGATATGTTCCCCATCAACTGAAATTGAGCAGTGCTGTGTGAATTCACGATATACAGTCACAGCGATAGCTGCGACACGTCACGGCGAAGTCCTTGGTCACCGGCGTCGCGTTCACGCACCGTGGACTGCGTGAACAAGAGCGTTCGAAACAAAATAGACATCTGACCATTTTGAAAATGCTCCCAACGCTTTTGTTCTTGTTTTGTTCCGTAGCGTGTGAACGCGCGTCTCCCGGCACGAGCTCTTGGCATTGACAGTGATATAACGACATTTTGTTTTCTTTCTTTCTTCTTTTCAGAGAGCGCATGCAGTGGGCACCGCTCAGAAAGATCGCGCGCATGGTCGCCGAGAAGAACGGACGTTCGATATGGCTCGCTCTAGTGCCAGCTCGCTCCTAACAGATAACGGTCGCTGCAGACCGTTGTGATGGTGCCTTTAATGCGAAAGCATTAACTATCCCATGGAGCGGCGTCTGCAACCGCAAAAAAAAAAAAAAAAACGCAAAAAAATGCTTATTTTCTTAATGGCTGCGCAGAACGGCTCCTAGATAGCCATTGGCGGCCGCTTCACGAGAGCGCGAGCTCGGCCGCCGCTTTCAGCGCGCGCTCGGCAACTTCGGCAGTGTCGAAACGTGGCCATCCACGCCACTACACTGCAGACGACCTAAGGGAGCGGAAGAACGACATATATGCTTTCGTATTCACAACTCATAATAAGTGCTTAGGTGTCCTCGGAATTTTTTTGCATCCCGGCAGACTACGGAATTGTGCTGCCACTCTGCTGGTGGGAGACAAAGCGAAGAACCAGGTCTACCTTCACTGTGCTGTTAATGCCAGCTAGGCCATTACGAATTGCAGATTACAAGGGACCGTTGAACAAGGCAGACTTACGCAAGGACGTGGCAGGGCTCGGCGCGTGCGAGATGGCTCACGTATGGCTCTGAAGTTTAAAAAGTGCTGCGGCAAAAGAACGACTGCTGAAACTGGGCAGGCTCACGGTGAAAGGAAAACTGCGCATTCACTACATGTGGCTCCCAACTGAAAAGACATCCGTGTCGAACTTCACTGGAACGTCATTTGGCGTCCCAAATGGCGCTCTCCGCGAGGGTTTGGGGCTCTTCAGGAGGTAACCAGAAAAACGTGGAGAGTTGATGGCTTTGAAGACACCAGGTCAAATACAAGGATCGCCAGACTAACACTCAAAGAAGGATCGAGTGACACTGGATAACTTGCCTCACCAGCTGAGGCTCCACGGAGGTACGGTTCTGGTTGTCGTGCACGGGTGGGCACCACGCTATGCCTGCGGTGCCACAGGTGACAGGGCAAGTCACATACGGCGAGTCTGTCATCTACCACGGTGCGGACTGTGTCAAGGCTTTGGCCATGTGGCTCAAGATTGCGTGCGCTAATACATTAGCGCCGTAGTCAGCCGCGTTCAATATGTAAGCCTCGACCTCGTCACGCACGAGATGGAAGCGGAGGAGGCTGCAACGCCGTCGCCGAAACCGCTAGAGGCGCCAGAGCAGGACGAAACAGCAGGCGACGCAGACAATACCAAAGCGGCGGAAGTGGCTGCCAATGCTTCGCCACCTACTGGTGCGACTGAGGAAAATGAAAAGGCAGATCAGGTTTTAGCGACGGGCACGCCTACGCCGGATGCATCGACGGAGATTGCAGGAGTCTTCAAAACCATGACAACGACCAACAACAATGAGCTGGTCATGGACGTAGACTCTATGAACGTGAAGAGGCGGCTGGACTTGGCGGCAGGGAACAACTAGAGCCACAAAATGAGTTGCGCTTAGAGTATCAGCACTCTGTTCCCCGATATTGTAGTAGGTGACGCCATCTTTGTGCTTGGGCAGAGCAGACGCAACTGCTGATCGTAATGATTCAAAGGAGCAATTTCCTGAGCATTAAATTTGGTCTCTGTCGCGAACTGTATAAACATTTTTGGTGGACGGAAAATCGTTTCCTGTGATTTCAGATAAAGCTTAGGATTACTGGCAACCATGATTTTAAGCCGGAAGATGGGTAAATGTCGTTACTCTGAAGCGTAGCTTATTAGTAGCACGAGGAACAACGAAGAACAGGATCTCGATATTCCGGAGAGGCCGTGGCAGATGGTCGGGAAGAAGGGATACTAAACAAGCGAGCCGTGGTCCCCGTCATTGTCCAACGAGGGACGACTGTCGCAGAGAGCCTCTGGCTTGTGTTTAATCTTTTGGTGACAAAGCGACACGTAAGCACCAAGAGGCGGGACTGACAACGTCAGATCAATGCTACAGATCGCCTCCGGCCTCTGTATAGAAACTCTAAACGTCAGGGGCCTTAAGCCGGAGTCGCACTCGTCATTCATCGCACAAAGGACAATCTGCATTCAGATTCGAACGCGAGTCACCGCGAGACCCGTGCTTCGAATGCCTCATGGCAATGCGCTGAGAAAGTGAAGGAGAGGAGGAGGCGAGAGCGCGCGGGAACGTCAGAACTCCGAGCTCTGATTCGAATGATTAGTGCGTAGATTTAAAGCTAGCTGCCTTTGTCTTGCCCGCGACGTCATCGGCCTTTCTATGGCCAAGCGTACCGTAGTTATGAACGTCGACACTTGATGACGTCAACGCGTTTCTACCTCGTTTAGTCAGAGGGCCCAAAAAGGGCTGTGACATATATCACCGGGAGATTGCGGAGCCGGCGGAGTCGTGCGCGTTATGACAACACACAGAGCGTGGTCTGCTCCGCCAATTGGGCGATATGGCGACCTCGGCAACGTCGGCTTCGGACGAGAGCTTGCTGCTCTTTGAACGGGACGACATCATCGCGAGGCGGCTAAGGTGCCTCTGCTATCTCGCACGAAGCCAGATGCTCGTAGATTTCCTACCTTACGTTGTCTCAGCAGGATCATGTGTGACATTGGTGGGACCAGGCAACTGCTGCTTACCTGAGTTACCTCTGACTGATCAGAACGACCAGACTCGGCGATAGCGATAGCTTCACGGATAAATAAATATCGCTTTGAAGGCGCCATACCAGTTGGCATCCTTCATTTATTAAAGACAGCAATACCAGTTGGCATCCTTCATTTATTATAAAGACAGCAGGGAAGCAGACCTAGTCCGGTGAGGCAGAACGGCGGTGGCATCACTCGAGTATTTTACGCAGCGTATCGCATCGATAGTGGTCTGACCGCAGCATTTTCACGCCATCGCAAACAAACGCGTACACTACGACGATTTTGCGATATTCTTTGTCACCAGGGCGAACACTAAATAAACGAAGGGAAGGCATCGAAGTAGGGGAAGTCTCGACGGGATGGGATTTTCCAAGCGAAGGCACAGGGCGCAGGGAACACGACTGTACAATTCTCACATCGTCACACAAACTACCACGAAAAAACGCTCGCATCGCCACGATCTGGCAATGCGACTCGTCTCGATGGCGAACACTAAACGAATAAAGAAAAGCGATCGGCACCGCTTTCGTCGGTCTTGTCCAACGAGGCTTACGCGATCGTGCAGGCAGGGCGAGCGGCGACTAAGTTGGACGGCGAGACGATCGCTGAATTCTCATATCGTCGCACACTAACTACCGCGCACAAAAGCGGACAGCTTTGCGACAAAAACCCGGGTCA